GCTGTAACTGGGTGCTGCTCGTGACGCTCTCCCCGCAGGGCAGCCTGGCCGATGGACGCATTATCGACAGCTCTCTGAGCAGAGACCCTCTGGTTATAGAACTTGGCCAGAAGCAGGTGATCCCAGGTATGTGACCTGTTTCTCGTTCCGTTTCTTAACCCAAGAGCTGCCTCGGAGATGCGCTCTGGAATGAGCCTAAGACCCTAGGGTCGGATCTCGCAGCCGTCTCCCAAGGTCCAAACCCCACTTCTAATGCTCCTCTTCGCCCAGCCCCACTGGGAGCCAGGGATTTGAGAAGCTGGGCGAAGCTCTGAGGGTCGTCAGGGTGGCACCTTGGCTCCTCCTTTCGGGGAGCTTGGGGAGTCAGGGCAGCCTGCGGCTCAGCTGTGTCTTCTTTTCCAAGGTCTGGAGCAGAGCCTTCTAGACATGTGTGTGGGGTGAGTATCTGGGCTGGGCGGGCCTGGTACTCCTTTGCCTGGGTAGAGGCTTTCCCTGCCATCCCTGCTTTTCCTGGAGGCAGGAGAATATGGGACAAAGGGCCCTGGCTTCGAACTGGACAGGTCCAGGTAAGTGGGACCTTGGGGGCCTCCGGTGACTCTGGGCCTCTCTGGCTGCTGGTTTTGAGAAGTTTGGGGAGCAGGACTCCTTCACTGGCCGACCCGATAGTGCTCAGGTGGGAGCAGTCGCCTTTGGGGCTTGGCTGTGCAGCCTCAGGGAGCAGGCAGCTGGCCTCTGCCGCTGGCTGTGACGCACATCCCTTTCTGCAGAGAGAAGCGGAGGGCCGTCATCCCTTCCCACCTGGCCTATGGAAAACGCGGATTTCCACCGTCTGTCCCAGGTAATCTGATGAGGCCTTTCTCTTAGGCCACCAAAATACCTAGTCCCTGAGAACTACCAGGAACCGCAACTCTCTTTCTGGAACTTGAGAAGGTCTAGGTCACAGCTGCTGAAAGGCACAGCAGTGGCCGGGGCCTCCTGCAGGGCCACCGTCTCCTCCAAGGGTCACCAGTAGAGAAGACAGACATACCACCTGTCAAGGCCCTTGGCTTGTCTGTGACCAGTGGCAGCTTATGAGGAAAGAGCTGCTTGAGCCATGTAGGGCTGCTGCTTATGCTGCCTATCCTGGAACAGCCTAGGAACTCAAACAAAATAAACAAAAGCAACCTTTAAATGCCAAGCCCAGCCCATAATTTTATTTTTTGAGACAGTCTCACTATTAGTTCAGACTGGCCTTGAACTCACCGTGTAGCCCAGGCTAGCCTCATACTTGAAATGATCCTCTTGCCTCAGCCTTCTGAGTGTTGGGATTACAGGTGTCCACCACCACACCTGGCCAGCCCATAATACTTTTTTTTTTTTTTTTTTGCGGTGTGGGGGGGTTCTTTTTGAGACGGTCTTGCTATGCAGTTCAGGCTGGCCTTGAGCTCACTTTGTAGCCCCAGCTGGCCTCAAACTCACAACGATCCTCCTGGCTCAGCCTCCCAAGTGCTGGGATTACAGGCGTGCACCACCATGCCTGGCAGCCCATAATTTTAAAAGCCTTCATCTATAGCATTGCTGATACCTAGTTTTATAGGGCTGAGACTGGACAGATTTCCCAAGATGTGTATCTCTCGCTTTTAACAGATGTTCTGTTAGCCAGAATGTGTTTTACTAGTTCTAGCTTAGCAGCCGGCCTGGAAAAGAGAGCAGGGAGACTAAGGAGAAGCTGTGTGTGTGTAGCTGTGTGTGTGTGTGTGTGTGTGTGTGTGTGTATGAGAGAGAGAGACAGAGACAGAGACAGAGACAGAGAGACAGAAACAGACGGGGGACCGAACCCAGGCCTTTTCCTGGGCTATATTCCCAGCTATTTATTTCTTTAGAGGCAGGGTCTCTGTGTAGTTTAGGCTGGCCTTAAACTCATGGTGATCCTCCTCCTGCCTCAGCCTCCTGAATGCTGGGATTACAGGTGTGTTCCACCATGCCCAGCTGTTTGCTTCTGTTTGTATCTCTCCTTCCACTGGCCCCTTCTTCAGTTATTCCTTCCTTTTTTCCGGCTCTAATGTCAAAAAACAACTGGTTTTATTTTGTTTGTGTTTTCTTTTTGAGTCAGGGTTTCACCATGCAGTTCAGGCTGGCCTTAAGCTCACTTTGTCGCCCAGGCTGGCCTTGAACTCACAGTGATCTTCCTTCCTCAGCCTTCCCAGTGCTGGGATTACAGGCCTGTGCCACCAGGCCCAGCAAATACCTGTTTTCTTGTAATCACACTGAGTGTGCTCATTGGTTGTTGGAATGTAAAAGATGTCCAGTTTAAATTTAATTAACTTCAGCCCTGCAGAAATCTAGTCCATGTGGGTGTCTGGAAGTGGGTTCAGTTAGTATAGAGGGTTCTTTCACCTGGAAGTGGAGAACCTGTTTCCTATTTCTGCACCTTTAGAGTTTTCCTGTGCGTCAGAGGCCTGTTCCTGAACCCCAGCCCTGTGTGTAGCTGGCTTAGCTGTCATTGGGCTGCTCGTAACCCTCCTTCACCTTTCTCAGCACCACAGCCTCACAGCTCATGGGGCTGTGGCCCCCTTTCCCTGCTGTCATCCAGATTCAGAGCCCTGAATAAAATGCACAAAGACCCTCCCCTTCCTCTCCCTCTGCTTCTCTAGCGGATGCAGTGGTGCAGTATGACGTGGAGCTCATCGCACTGATCCGAGCCAACTACTGGCTAAAGCTGGTGAAGGGCGTTTTGCCCCTGGTAGGCATGGCCACGGTGCCAGCCCTCCTAGGCCTCATCGGGTATCACCTGTACAGAAAAGCCAGCCAGCCTAAAGTCTCCAAAAAGAAGCTCAAGGAGGAGAAACGAAACAAGAGTAAAAAGAAATAATAAATAATAGTAATTAAAAACAAAAAAAACCTCTGCATTCTCACTGGACACTTTCTTCTGAGTCTGCTTTTGTAAGTGGGACCAAGGTGAAGAGCTCAGAAAGAAGGCTTTCTGGACGTGGGTCCTGCCTGGGGGGAGGCTGGAGGCCTGGACCACCTTCCCCAGCCTCCGCTTGCTGTCCTGTCTGCCCCCAGGACCTGGTCTGCAGAGTGCCCACGTAGGTCTGCACGCGCCAGGACACCATGCAGCCGTGCGTTGCTGAGCGCGAGCCTCCCGGCAGTTGTGCGCCTCGTGTCCTCGGACCAGATCGTTCTGTTCCGTGCGGCACAAACACGGGAGTATAAATTCTGTGAGGTTTTTAATAGCAAAGCACTCGGGTCTCCCAAAAAACAAAGTCTTGGGGTTGGAAAGAGACTTCCTGCTTGCGTCACAGGGTGCGGGAGGCCACGTGGGCCGCCTCCACCACGTTGTAAGTGGTCGGAGGCCGGTCGCCTGGCCGGGCCATCGCTGCGGGCAAGGGCGGGGGCAAGTTGCTCCGATGGTTGACTATGAGCAGCGGGTTGAGCTGGCTCAGCACCTCGTCGCTCACCGAGATGCCGTCCAAGTACTGCTTGAGCATCTCCCGCAGCTTCCGGTTGATTTCCAGCAGCTGGGCTCGTCGGTGCTGGAGGCTCAGCTGCTCCAGCTTCACTTTGTTGTACCTTTTCCAGAAGTTCTCCATCCCGCTGTAGTCTGCCATCACCTAGGGGTTCCCGCAGAGAGGTGTGCAGCAGGCCCTCTAGCGGACGCCGCCGCCGTCCCGCCCCACCCCACCCCGTACCTTTGCGAGCTCTTCGGTGAGCTCCTCGCCTCTGTCCTGCGCCTCAAACTCCTGCTCCTCGGGAGTCAAGACTGATGCGTAGAAAGGCAGCACTTTCTCCTCCTCAGTTTCAAATTTCCTGCATATTTCAGCAAGTTTAAGGATCTTTTCACCCTGTTGAAAGCAAGGGGGTGGGGCTGGGGATGTAGCTCAGCGGCACAGCGCCTGCCTGGCAAGCGCAAGGTCATGAATTCAATTCCCGGTACCATAAAAAAAAAAAAGAAAGAATGAAAGCAAGCAAGCAAGCAGGTGGGGACGAGTTAGGGAAGAGGGTGGGAAGGGGAGACGCGGAATCGACTCACCTGCTTGAACCTGGGAAAGCCCCTCCGCACCTAACATGCAGTGTTCACCTCCTCTGAGCGCTTTCCCAGTTAATTCTTGTAACAGAATTAACCTGTTCATTACTACTTCATTTAAAATGTAAGGGAGTGGGATAAAAAGGAATCCAGAGCATCCACTTAGGCAGGCAGCCGGCAGCAAGAGAAAGCCCTCTACCTTTCCAAATCCCTTTCTCTTCAGCTAGTTTCCTTAGCTTTGCTCTGACCGCGCTCATGGCCTCATTTGCTTATTCATGTATTTATTCATTTACTGGTTCTGGAGATCAAGCCGGGGGTGTGCCGCCGCCGAGCCACGTCCCCACCCCTATCTCCTGCTTGTTTTTTGAGACAGTCTTGCTGAGTCTCTTTTAAACTTGTGACCCTCTTGCCTCAGCCTCCCTAGCCTTGGGATTATAGTTCGTGCCACCCTGCCCGGCTCCCTCTGTCACCTTGTCAACAATCTTCCTCAGCGCCTTGAGAGTGAAGTTACTTTCCCGGGTGAGTTTGACTAAGTTCTCCTGGGATATTCCCCGGGCCCGAGTCCTCTGGGCCTTAAGCCTTCGCAGCTGTGTAAGGACTAACTCCTTGTCATTGCGGATGTACTGGTTCTGATCTTCGCTCTCGCGGCTGTGCAGCAGGATCTTGCCTTTTGAAATACTGATGGCCTCCTGGAGGGAGAGGAGACCGCAGGGGACCAGTGCAGGGGCCAGAAGCAGGGGTGCACAGAAGAGGGCGGGGAACCGGAACCCGAGCCGCGTCCGCCTCGCACCGCTCGCAGAGGTGGCGATGAGCGGGCCGGTCTGGAGCGGAGTTTCTGGTGGGCGGGGCTAACCTGTAATTTCTGTATTTTTTTCATCTGTGTCTCAATCTCTTTGGAGCTCGTTTCGTCCTTCACCTTCAGGGTCTCAAAGGCGATCTTCCTGTCCTCTGTGGCGTCGGTGTAGCTCTTGAGTGCGTCCTGGAACCGTTTCCACAGGTCCTCCACTGTATTCTCCAGCCGCAGCCGTAGAAAGTGCTTCTCTTCTATATTCTGGGAAAGGCCCCCAAGTGCTGGGTGCTTAGAACAACGCTACCAGTGCCCTTTGCCCCACCAGCACCCCATTCATTGGTTTTCGGTAGTGGGGGTGGAACACAGGGAGCCGTGAACAACATCCCCCAGCTGTCTTTATCTTCTTTTTTATTTTGAGACAAGGTCTCACTAAACTGGCCAGGCTTGAAGGTGTGATCCTCCTGCCTCAGCCTCCTAGGGTGTGGGGATTCTAGGTGTGCACCCCCACACTGGCTTCTGACCAGTTTCTACAAAATCACAGAGCAGCGTGGGCCCTGCAGCGGCACTGACTCGCTGCCCGTGTGGCTCTGGGCTCCCCTCTGGCCCTCGGCGCCCTGGCTGGCTCTCCTCCCACTTCTCTCCCCTGCACTCTCCTGCTGCACCTTGTTTTTGAGGTCGTCCCACAGGCTCTGGAACTCCAGCTTGCTCTCGTACTCGGAGTCCATGTAGCTCTGCTCCATGGCCATGAACACGTCCTGCAGGTAGTGAATCTCCTCCTCGTGCTGCTCCGTGATCGTCCTCCTGTGGGGACAAGACACTGTCCCTGCTCCGTGGTTGGAGCATACGGGCCACGGCGACAGCTTGGCAGCTGTGATGAAACTACGTGAACGGCACCAACTTGAAAGGAGGGACAGAACAGAGGAACAGGGGGCTCTGCTGTGTGAGGGCCAGAAGGAATGAACACAATGGTTTTATTTTTATTTTTTTCAGTACCAGGGCCCATGCACTGAACTATATTCCCAGCCACTTCCTTTTTCCTTTTTTTTTTTTTTTTGTCTCTTTGAGATGGGGTCCCACTATGCAGTTCATACAGCTCACTCCATAGCCCAAGCTGGTCTCGAACTCGCAAAGATCCTCCTGCCTCAGCCTCCTGAGTGCTGGGATTACAGAGGCCAGGCCCCAGTCTCTTCTTTTAATTTTTAAATTTTGGGCTGGGGATTTAGCTCAGCGGCACAGCGCCTGCCTGGCAAGGGCAAGGTCGTGAGTTCAATTCCTAGTACTGGAAGAAAAACAAAAAACTAAACAAAAAATAATAATAATTTTTAAATTTTGAGACACTGTCTTGCTAAATTGCTAAATGCCCAGGCTGGGCTTGAACTTGTGATCCTCCTGCCTCAGCCTCCTAGAGTGTGGGGGTTACAAGTATGCACCAACACACTGGGTTTTGATATTTGAGGAGGCAACACGTAGAGATCATACAAGAATTGAGAAGTACAAGTTCACTTCCCGGCGCACTGCCAGCTGAGTAGGTTTGACCGGTGAGAGTGGGTGGCAGAGCACAGACACCGGCCGGCAGGGCTGGAGGGAAGCCAAGGCTGCAGCCACACCCGAGTTCACCTGGGAGAAACTCGGGCTCTGTTCTTCGGCTCAGGCTGTAACCAAAGTGGGGCGCCCTGGTGCTGGCCCTGCTGACAGGCAGCCCCTTCACAGCGACGCTGGGCTCTGCCCTGGCTTCAGTCCCCCTCTTTCTCTCCCCACACCTTTCTGTCTCGAACTCCGTGGTCAGGGCCTCCAGCTCCATGCTGTAACTTTCTTCCAGAAGGCCGAGCCGGCGCCTCTGCAGGGCCAGGAGCTGGTCAACGTTGTGCAGGTGGCTGCGCAGGGCGTGGGCGTACTGCTCCTCGGCCTCGGACAGGTCCTTCGCCAGAGACTGGGTGGGAAGCAGGGAGTTAGGGTCTGGCCAGGCGGCCTCTGTGTGAGAAAAGGAAAGCACGCTCAGGGCCTTCCGCGTGGCCGTCAGCCCTTTCCCTCGGGTCTAAGCCCGGCCTCCGGCGTGAGGAGTGCGGGCTCTCCACTCGCTCTGGATGTGAAGCACGGGTGCCACAAAGGCTCCCCGTGGAACAGCCGTGCCCTGGAGACCACAGACACGTACAGGGTGGAGCTAGCAAGGAGCCAGGGGTTCGTGGAGAAACGGCTGCTTTGAGGAAGAACACAGACGGAACCGAGCATTTCTTGTCATACAAGATCGCACAGAAGCCGTCACGACCAGTCAAGTCGCGTCAGCTCCAGGCAGCTGCGTGAAGTGGCGGGCTGTGGAAGATCACGTTCTGCAAAGAACCACAGCAGCGTCTCCCCCCGGTGGTTTTTGCAGTGTGGTCTTGCCAGGCCCCAGTGACTCACAGCTGGGTGTAGAGGTGCACAGCAGCAACCCCAGCACTCAGGAGGCTAAGATAGGAGGAACACAAGTTCCAGGCCAGCCTGGGCAACTTAGTGAGGAGTTGGGGAAGTATCTCAGTGGTGGAGCACTTGCCTATCGTGTGCAAAGCCATGGGTTCAGGTTCTGTCCTGAGCATCTCTCTCTCTCTCTCACACACACACACACACACACACACACACACCTTTTTCCATCTTGAATTTGGGTGGACGCTATGAATACTTAGAGTAATAAAAAATGGAAGCACCAGGTGTGGTGGCACACACCTAGGATCCCAGCACTCAGGAGGCTGAGGCAGGAGGATCACTGTGAGTTTGAGGCCAGTCTGGGCTCCAAAGCAAGAGCCTGTCTTAAAAAAAAAATAGTGGAAGTGGCCCTGTGCCCGTTTCAATAGCCCATTCTGACCTGGAATGCCTGCTCTTGGGATGCCCCCAGGAACACAGCCCTTGTGCTGTGAGAAGCCCAACACAGCCAGAGGGCCACAGGAGAACAGTCCGCAGCCCTGCTGACCGCCAGCATCAGCCGCTGGCCGTGCAGGACATCCAGCCCCCCCAGGCCGTGGGGACTGCGGGCCCCAGTGGACACCCACCTGAAAACTGTCCTTGCCGGAGGGGCCTCTGCGCTCACACTACCTACAGAACCCGGACAGAGAGTAACTTGTGTCAAGCTCTGAGTTAGGAGTGGCTTGTTAAGAAGCAGTAGATAACTGGAGTAGTTGCAGCTCCTCCCCCAGGAGAGGGGGGAGGTTTGAGCATTAGCAAAGATAAGAGCTGGTCCTTATCATGCTCATGCCTGTGATCCCAGCACTTGGGAGGCTGAGGCAAGAAGAATGTGAATTCAAGGCAGAAAGATTGTGAATTCACTGAGCTACACGGTGAGACCCTGTATCAAAAAAAAGAAAATTACACTGGATTTAAAATTGAAAAATAGCTGGGCGTGGTGGCACATGCCAGTAATCCCAACACTCAGGAGGCTGAGACAGGCAGATTGCTATTTTAGGCCAGCCTGCACTACCTAGCAAGACCCTGTCTCAAAAAAAAAAAAAAATTGCAAAATATTAAATGTGTTTGGTGATGGGTTTAATAAAGGTACTTTTTAAAAAGTTACCATTGTAGATAGTAACCAATTCTGTTAACTAGTAAATAAAGGAAGAGAAACAAGTATTTATCTTGCCTTTCTTATATAAATGATACTTCCACGATTGGGGATATAGCTCAGTGGCACAAGTGTCTGCCTGGCAAGTGCAAGGTCCTGAGTTCAATTGCCGGTACAACAACAACAAAAAAAGATATTTCCAGGTAACTGAGTGGTAAATGAGGGAAGTGTTTTTTTCATAGACATATTTGAGTTAATACTTAAAAAATGACCAATACTGGTAGAAAATCAGCATTTTGCAACCCTCGATTAATTAACAGATCTTTTGTGCCAAAATCACAGAAAGGGGGCTGGGGATTTAGCTCAGCGGCACAGCGCCTGCCTGGCAAGGGCAAGGACATGACTTTGATTCCTGGTACCGGAAAAAAAAACAAAAAAACCCCACAAAATCACAAAAAGGTAACTAGACATTACATGCCTCCTGATGGAAGAATATAACTCCAAGCTTCTCAATCCAACTGCCAAAATATAGGAAATACAGAGAACAATGTAACACGTCCTACAATACAGACTTATTTAAAAAATGAAGGGCCAGGTACAGTGGTACATGCCTATAGTTCTAGCCCTCTGGGAGGCTGAGGCAGAAGGATCTCAAGTTTGAGCTCAGCCTGGTCAACTTAGTAAGTCAGGGAGACGGTGTCTCAAAATAAAAAATAAAAAAGGGCTGGAGATGTAGCTTAATATGAGGCACCTGGGTTCAATCCTCAGTACCATGCACACACACAGATATATTTAGACAGACAGATCTAGATGTCTATATCTATTGTAAAATTGCCCACACTGGGCTTGAACTTGGTATCTGCCTGCCTCAGCCTCCCAGAGGACTAGGATTGCAAATGTGCGCCACTATGCTCAGCTCTCAAGATATATTATTAAGTGAAAAAAGCAAAGTGCAGAACATGTGTAATACTATCATTTTTTTTAAAGGAGAGGCTTAATTTAGCTTGTATAATACTATCATCTCTGTGAAAAAAGTTTTACTGAACTAGAATTGTTGGGTCAGGGAATTAGCTCAATGGCACAGCACCTGCCTGGCAAGCCTGAGGTCCTGAGTTCAATTCCTGATACCAAAAAAAAATATTTAAAACTAGGATTGTTGCCAGGGATACAGCTCAGCGGCACAGCGCCTGCCTGGGAAGTTTGTGAGTTTGATTCCTGGGACCAAAAATAAATAAATAAATAAACACATAAATAAAATAAAAGTAGAATTGTTGTGAGGGACACTGTGGGGCCGGAAGGCGCTGGGAGGAGAGAGGTTTTCGCTAAATAACCTTTTTTATCTGTTTGAATTTCGACTATGGTGAATGATTACCTTAAAAAAAATTAAAATTAAAACAAAACAATTCATCGAATGCCTACGTGATCCAGGGACCTTGAGCCCCCGCACAGAGCCAGCTTTGGCCTTGTAGGTTAGAATGACAGATCATGTGAAATAAGTGCTGATCACAGGAGACCCTGCACCTACCCAGCACATGTCCCCCAGGCCCCGGCTGTGAGCCTGCCCTGCGCTGGGTGCTAAAGCTCCCAGAGGAAAGGGCTTGCTCACTGCTCCCAGAGGGACGCAGTCTAGCGCAGAAAGTGTAAAATATGCAGCAAATCACACTGCAACACAGAAGTTGCTATGAGACTGATGATTTATTAAATGCTAATCAGATACAAAGGACTGAGAACCTACATCTGACTAGCAGCCCTGAGAAAGGCTTCACTGAAAAAATGTTATGTCTCAGCGCTTAAAGGAGAAGAGAAAGTTTGCCAGAAGACAGGAGACAAAGAAAAGGGAATTCCAGAGAAAGAAAAGAGTTAGCACAAAGACAGGTCGGGGACAGGACTGAGGCTGAGGCAGGAGGTTCAAGCTCAAGGCCAGCGTGAGCAAGTTTAGGAGACTGTGTCAGCTCAGTGGTACTGAACTGCCGAGCATGCACACGGCCCTGGGTTCAACCCATGCCCTGCAAACAAGGCAGACAACCAGCAAAAACAAGACCAGCTGCGTGGAAGGGAGAGGTAGGGGCCGGATCATGAGCGTGTTCCGTTCTTACCGTGGAGTTTGGATTTTTTCCTGTAAATGAGATGGGTCACTAAGCAGATTTAAGCAGTGGAGTGACAGGATTAGATTGCTGCTTTAGAAAGCTAATCCTGGCAGTGGCACAGAGAATCATCTGGAGGCAGCTGAGTGTGAGGGCTGGAAGACAGAAAACTACTTCAGCGGTCCAGAAGGGAGATGATGCCCAGGTCTCACCTATAGCAGGACGGTGGGGTAGGCAAGCAGAGCATGGCTCTGAAAAACATGTGAGGTCTCGAGCACAGGGGTCAGGGGCGCAGGCCAAAGCAGGAGGATTCCCACACTTCTGGGCTGGGTCAGCTGGCGAATCCGGCTACCCCGACAGGAAAGTATAAGGGAGACCGGGTTATGGAGACCGTGGCCATCTGGAGAAGGGAAAACTCGTGACAGCCGTGCAACAGCCCGAAATAGACGCCTCCGAAGCCTGAATTCAAGGATTTGGGAGGCAGGAGAAGCGTCCAGGCTGGTGTCACGGCCTGGAGTCGTCCCTCTCTAAACGGTGTGAAAGCCTGGTGACGGGTGAGTCAGAGGCCTGGGTCCTCGACCACGGTTGAAGGCTGAGATGGGTGGGCTCAGGAGTCTGAGGGGTGCTGAAGGTCAGGGCGTGGAGAGAGGAAGACAAACTCACAAAGAAGAGGGATGTGTGCGTCCAAGGAGGGAATGCCAGACTGGTGTCCTGGCAGTCAAAGGAGAAGGTGAAGATGTGGGGCGGGCCCCACGGGGTCAGGGCCATAGGACGGTCACGGCAGCAGAGGGACAGTGCTCAAAGGCAGCTGTACCTGCCTGGTGACCTTTGCAGTTTCCCAGGGAAGAGTGGGAATCAGATGTTGTTGGTAAAGCGTACGTGGGAAGCAGAGAATTGAGAGCACGGACATGGCCGATCTGCACAGTCTCCGCTATTCAGGAATGACCCCAGCAGTGCTAAACGCTAGCAGCACATGATTCACCCAGGACAAGGAGCACAGTCAGAAGCCACAGGCTGGGCTGGGGATGTAGCTCAGCGGCACAAGCACCTGCCTGGCAAGCG